GGTATAAACAGTGTTTCTTATTTAGGAGAAAATTGTTGGCTATCTGTTCCGTTCATTTTTTGAGAAGAATATGTCGCGTTCCAGCTACGGAACTTGAAAAAGTTCTCATAAATATTTTAGTTTCGTATACCATGTAACTTCTATGATTTCGAATCTTAATATATTTTGGATTCGAGATATTAACAACAACTATGTTTAGATCAACGAAGCGAAGTGTTATTAATCGACGGAAAAATTGCACAAAAGAGGAAAGTTCAAATCTCGATATATTTTGAATTCGAGATATTGATACCAACTATGTTTCAAATCAACGAAGCGACGTGTTATTAATCGACGGAAAAATTGCACAAAAGAGGAAACCAGACCAGAAACCAACGACCGGTGATAAGTTTTTCATTACTATATAGAAATTTTATTCAATTTATTTCGAATCTTTCTTCAAAATTTAATATTTAGGGGTAGGTTCCTGATCAGTTAGGTATACACAGTGTTTCTCAATTAGGAGAAAATTGTTATGTCGCGTTTCAGCTACAGAATTTGAAGAAGTTCTCATGATTAAGAATCTTAATATATTTTGAATTCGAGATATCAATAACAACTATGTTTTAGATCAACGGAGCGAAGTGTTATCAATCGACGAAAAAATTGCACAAAAGAGGAAAGTTCAGATCTCGATATATTCTGAATTCGAGATATTGATACCAACTATGTTTTAGATCAACGAAGCGACGTGTTATCAATCGACGGACAAATTGCACAAAAGAGGAAACCAGACCAGAAACCAACAACCGGTGATAAGTTTTTCATTACTATTTACGAATTTTATTCAATTCATTTCTAATGTTTCTTCCAAATTCATTATTTGTTATGGAAGGCGATATATCATAGAACATTTTTCGATAGTCACCTTTAAGTCTCGATGGTGACACGACAGGTACCCTTACGAGGGGAGAGTATCAACCCTTGGCATCGGTAAACCCTCGTTGCAACCGGGGTGGGCGTCTGATGGGTTAGGTATATACAGTGTTTCTCATTTAGGAGATAATTGTTGACTATCTGTTCCGCTCATTTTTTGAGCAATTGAAGAATATGTCGCGTTTCAGTAACGGAATTTGAAAAAGTTTTCATCAATACTTCAGTTTCTTATTCCATGTAACCTTCATGATTTCAAATCTCAATATATTTTGAATTCGCGATATTAATACCAACTATGTTTTAGATCAACGAAGCGAAGTGTTATTAATCGACGGAAAAATTGCACAAAAGAGGAAAGTTCGAATCTCAATATATTTAGAATTCGAGATATTGATACCAACTATGTTTTAGATCAACGAAGCGACGTGTTATTAATCGACGGAAAAATTGCACAAAAGAGGAAACCAGACCAGAAACCAACAACCGGGTGATAAGTTTTTCATTACTATTTACGAATTTTATTCAATTAATTTCGAATATTTCTTCCAAATTTATTATTTGTTATGGAAGGCGATATATCATAGAACATTTTTTGATAGTCACCTTTAAGTCTCAATGGTGACACGACAGGTACCCTTACGAGGGGAGAGTATCAACCCTTGGCATCGGTAAACCCTCGTTGCAACCGGGGTAGGCGCCTGATGGGTTAGGTATATACAGTGTTTCTCATTTAGGAGAAAATTGTGGGCTATCTCTTCCGCTCATTTTTTGAGCAATAGAAGAATATGTCGCGTTTCAGCAACGGAATTTGAAAAAGTTTTCATCGATACTTCAGTCTCTTATTCCATGTAACTTTCATGATTACAAATCTTAACATATTTTAAATTCGAGATATCAATAACAACTATGTTTTAGATCAACGAAGCGAAGTGTTATTAATCGACGGAAAAAATGCACAAAAGAGGAAAGTTCGAATCTCAATATATTTTGAATTCGAGATATTGATACCAACTATGTTTTAGATCAACGAAGCGACGTAATCGACGGAAAAATTGCACAAAAGAGGAAACCAGACCAGAAACCAACGACCGGTGATAAGTTTTTCATTACTTTTTAGAAATTTTATTCAATTTATTTCGAATATTTCTACAAAATTTAATATTTAGGGGTACGTTCCTAATGGGTTAGGTATAAACAGTGTTTCTCATTTAGGAGAACATTGTTGGCTATGTGTTCCGTTACTTTTTTAACCATAGAAGAATATGTCGCGTTTCAGCTACGAAATTTGAAAGAATTTCTCATAAATATTCTGATTTCTTATTCCATGTAACTTTCATGATTTCGAATCTAAATATATTTTGAATTCGAGATATCAATAACAACTATGTTTTAGATCAACGAAGCGAAGTGTTATAAATCGAGGGAAAAATTGCACAAAAGAGGAAAGTTCAAATCTCGATATATTCTGAATTCGAGATATTGATACCAACTATGTTTTAGATCAACGAAGCGACGTGTTATTAATCGACGGAAAAATTGCACAAAAGAGGAAACCAGACCAGAAACAGACCAGAAATATACAGGGTGATTCACTAAGAATGGGAAATCTCTGAAACACAGATAGTAAACAGGGAAATATTAAATGTAAAAACTTCACAAACGATCAGATTTCCACAAAATTCTCAAACACATGACATTTTTCGCTAACACAGTAGCTTCGTCAGGTGATATACTGGTACAGTGAACTAAACTAACGTTGGCTTGCTTAACTTCCATATATCTTACTTTCCCAACCTGAAGGATTAGTTACCTGTAGACAGGTACGATAAACCTCCATTTTCGGAAATTAGGCACAATATCTACATTAAATCACAGTATACTGGATTAACTTGAAAGAGTTGATAGCAAATACATATTATTACTTACTAAGAAAACAAATTCAACAGAGGTGAACTATTGAGGTCTAATTGATCATTAAGTAAAATGTCAAAAATTTTTGAGTTTGTTGATTTCTAATGATTCAAAATGATTGAGTTTCGGTCCTTTATTTTCTATGTGAAGAATTTCGAAATTATCATCAAAACTTCTAATATATGGTTAGCGTATGTTGAATTTGTTTTCTTTTTCATAAAATTCATCTCATGTTCATGAATGCGCTGATTAAACGTAAACTGTCTGACCGATATATACCTTAGGACAAGATCCACATCTGAGTTTGTATACCCCTAATTTTTCGAATTTAGAAGTCTTGTCTTTATAATTCTTGATAAACCGTCCCAACGTGTTATTTGTTCTATATGCCATCCTGTTTATGTAGAAATGCTGTAGAAAGCTAATTTTTCAGTTGATGATCCGTGTGATGTGTTTGAGAATTTTGTGGAAATCTTATCGTTGGTGAAGTTTTTACATTTGGCATGGATTTCCATCAAGTAACAGCTGACTCAATTCAAAAAATTAGACTGACAGATACTCCATTGCTTCAAAAGAATGATAAAGATGCCCGAAAAAGATGTCTGCAAGGAAGGTGTATTTCCTGTTAGAAACTTTTCATGTTGATAATTTTCTGATTGTAATATAATGTAATATCTTCTCAATATTGATTAGTTCTTTTTTCTGTCACAAAAAAAATAGTATATTACATGGCTTGGGGATACAATACAACCTGGAGTTAATATCTATTACTTTTTTCTCTTGTATATTAAATAACTATTTTTTTTTCCTTACTATTCACCAATTTCATACCTTCATTTTTCTTGATTATTTTCATTCCCTGTATCTCCAAAACTATCCATTGTTGATGGTAAATGAATGAAGACTTTTTTATAGGAAACTTGATGTTAAATTGTGTATATTTACTTGAAAAAATGACCTTCAACCACTCCCCTACCGCCCCAATCATCCCCTACCGCCCCAATCATCCTCTACCGGCCAGGACTTTTAGTTTGTTGTTCATGGCACTTACCCCTACCACTCTACAAAAATTTGCAACTATATGATTTTTTTCTCCTATTTTTTGTTTCATTACTGAACTGAGTTGTCACCAATCCAGCACAAGCTATGAAAATGATTTACTTCATGGCTACTATTTATAGAAATCAAATAGGTACATTCACAAAGGAGAACTGGATGAAATTTGAAATCTTATTTGTAAATGCAGACAACACAATAGTTATTTGGTGAATTTATGCAGCAGTTTTGAGTCTCAAGTTTTGAGTCATGAGTTTTAAGCCTTTTAAGCATTGGTTTTCATTGTAATTGTTCATACAATAGTCATAAGTTTAAAGTTTTGAGAAAAAACAACAGCCAATATTCATCTCTTGAGACTCAAAACTGTGTGCTACCATTTTTTTGTAATGTTGGTTCAGATTAATTTAATTTTCATCAAATTAAGTCCAGAACAGATATTTAAAGTGCTGAATAATATAAAAAATCAATTATATGCTACCTGAAACACATAAAAAATTGATATTATACAACAAGCAAAATAGCCAATGAAGGGGTTCTTATCTTAATCCACTATTAGAATTTGATATAATGATTATGGCAAGCATGGTAGTATGCCTCCCAATACAGATTTATACAAGTGAATCACAGAGGCTGTGCAGAGAATGATTTGAGTCAATTATTGAAATTATTAACCTATCAATGACAACTATTCTTAACATGTTAGTGGCCATGAGAACCTGTATTCTGTTGACATGACATAAGGGCTACACTACTAGCTTCCACTAGCTTTCACTTAATGCTCTGTGAACCTCTGTGAATATCACATATTACATTGCAACTGATGGAATATTGAAATATGGGGCCTGGTGGTCCCAATCAACTTTTGCAATGACAAAATGAGTGGTAGGGAACTTTTTATTCTGTATCAAGGATAATACAAAAACATCACTATTTTCTCAAGCACTTAGTACCTACAGAAAAAAAGGTGTAGTGGGAGACAAATTTTCACTGTCTCATTTGGGTGATAAAAATGTTAAAGAAATACTGAAAGACAGGTCAACAGGTGCCTGAAACACATGATTTCCAGAAATATTATTTCCTAGGATTCAAATATCTAATGGTCAGATGTACCAACTCACCTTTCATTCCATAAGCAATTACTTTGCCAGATATATGAGCAGCAACTAGGTGACCATGGTAATAGTGAAATTCCCAATTGTAATCAATTCTGTCCATCAATTTCACTTTAGAACTCCCATGATTATGGACTCCTTCCTTGCAATTCACAATGACCGTCTGTCCTTTTACATTCGTGCAAAATTCAGTCTCAGATCCAGTGTACTTACTGAGGAGTATGTTGAGGTAGGTAAATTGAATATTATAATTTGAGCTACTTACATGACTTGCATCAAATTTTGTTTTGGACCAAAAGGAGACGCCATGATCGAAATACTTTTCAGTACCTAAAATTCACTGGTTTTTAAGGATAAGCAGATAAATACGTCTATAGGATCTTTTGGGAATGTGCTTTATCATCAGAAATAGGAAACTAAAATAATCCGTTCAATATTGAGTACTGGTCTGTTTTCAATCAAATTAGTACTCGACTGATCGAATCTAAAATGTCCAGAAATGCGTAGGTATCTATAAGAAAAATGAAAAATTGAAAATGGCAAGTGTTTTTTATAGGAATTCTGCAATTTTTCCGGCAACAAAAATTGTGACAACAATAATGTCGAAATTGTCAACTGTCAATTGACGGCTTCGAGAGGCTCGAGCACAGGACACAGATCGAAATGACAGTCGACAGTCTTATTCTGCGATGACTATTCTGTGGACTAGCGCCTGCAGAGGAAGCAATATTAACTCGAATCTCGATACAATGAACTTATGAACGCGAATTCGGAAAGTGGGTTTCTAATAATCGATGATAGATGGCGTGAACGATGGACAATTTCTTGGAAAATTTCAAAATGCGTTTCGAATCTTATTTTGAAGTTGCACTAGACTCTCGAGGATGTGTTTTTCTTCTTTCGGGACCCGAATAATTCCTTTGATGATGTACGAATCCAATAATAGCTGAATAGAAACATTAAGAGACATTTCGTTTCAGTGTCCCTATAATGCATAGGAACAAAATAATTGGAGGAAATAGCGTATGCATATTCAATGTTTCCGCCATTTTCAAAACTGCACCTACTTCGCACGACCTACTAGAGCTCGTGCGAGAATTGTTGCACTCAGCTCTAAACTATGTGAACCAGTTTTCCAATGAAATTCAAAACCCGACACCAGTTTTACCAATGGAATACAAAATATGCACTTAAAACCCGAAATACGTAAAGATCGAACGACTTTCTTACGAGGTTCCGTATATAAATATGAAAATTCATATTTAGTATTGAATGCGAACATCTAGAAATATGAATAACAAACTTCTCAAGTTCAACGATAAAACCAATGAGGTTTGCACGTTTGATGATCTCATTCGTTCAATATATCATGCTTCGTCGTTCTGTATTCTTCGCATCCCGACAGTTTGATATAACCAACCTTGAAGGAAAAGAAATAACTATTCCGATTCATAATCGACTTCAATAGAGACGAAAAAGGAAAAAAAAAAACGAGTTGTTGAGGTTCACATATTTTATTATTTACGTTGTGAATCATGAGGGTAACACCAATAAGAGGGGTACAATAATTCATAATCATAATTCTCACTTCAGACTTAGCGATAACATACTATAACATACGTCTAAATACCAATTTGCATAAAGTTTTATATAATAAAAAGAACATACAAAACAATAGAAAAACAACGACACTTTACCACACTTCTCCAATCAAAATTCAATTATCTACAAAAAAGTAACAGTTTCTTTAAACACACACCATATTGCAAACGCCTAGGCACTGCCATGAGGTAAAACGTTGATTCTATATAGTCTTATCACAGAAAAAAAAATATTTCACTGAATGAAAGTATAAAGCTAGAGACTAACTAGTACGATAAGGGCATATATAGTCGAATAAATTAGGAGGCTCTCGCGTAATGAATCACCGAGCTGTACCGCACCGGCGACAAGTCTATGCTGCTCTCCATTGACTTGAGGATCATCCGCGACCTCTTCCTCGGAGGCAAACTCAACTCCGGGTCGGGCTCCGGAACGGGCGACACGGGGGGAGACAGCAGAGGAGCAGGCGACACCGGCCCGGAAAGCGGGGGAGAGGCCGCGATCTCGTCCTCGGACTGACTCCCCTCCACCGCCAGCACGGCCTCCACCCGCCTCCTCAAACCGTCGCAGGCGGTCAAGGGGGTGTACTGGATCGCGGGTGATGTGAAGTAGGCCGGGTGTCTGAGACACGCCTGGTTGCTCTTGATCAGATTGAGGACGTCCTGCAAAATTCCACTTTTAGTCATGGAATGAAACTTCACTTGACATTTTCTATATGAAATTTGAGATTCATTCTAAATTTCATTAATTTCAAGAATTCATCGATATTTAGGAGTTTCATAGAAATTTTCAGAAATTTTCAAGAAATAATGAAAGCTATATATCATCTATAAATATATATACAATGTTTATAGAGAGATAGCATAGTATGTGTCAGCGCCGTTAGATTGAATTGGAAAGAAACTATTTTCACTATTTTGAGTTGACGTAAACTGTTATGGAGGTTGTGTCGTGAAACCATGTTTATTGCAGCAAACTTGGTCTCGTTCGAGAGAGTAAAGTTTGTTGATTATATTGAGGGAACACCAGTGCCATGCTGGTTCCAGCTGCACTCACTAGGGGGCCTAATTAAAACATTTATGAATTTTTTGATTTTACCCCAAAATCTTAAATGGAATGATAATCATTTTATCAGTTATGGAAAGTTATAGGTATTTTAGTCAGGAAAGGTTCAACCTCGTCTACCGCCCTTATTTCACATCGTACGAAAAGAAGTATAGGAACAAGAAGATGCACTATTTTAACAGCATTAGCGTGATAGCTTCTGTTCCTCAGCTCATGTTGAAAAATTCGCTGGAAACATCAATTTTTTATACGACCATAGCAATTACGCCCTCCAGCGGTAGATATAGAAACTAAAAAACTATTTCCAGCAATTTGATTGGTATTAGTATCTTGGTTATTAGTTGTTATGCGATTCAACTGGTCATTTAGATTTCAATTATTGATACAACAAGTCTGCTCACCAGCGGTGGTTTGATTACAATGTAATTTAAATACGTCTCTATCAATGAGAATCCGATATATATTATATGTATGTTATGTATACTCTTTCCAAAGTCAATTGGAGTAGCTCCAGCAGAAAACAGATTTGTTGGAACACTATACTTATTATTTGACAGGTCGATGCTGCTATCTTGCACATTGGGATCGTAAATGATAAATATTCATATGACATGTGTGAGTTGAACTTAGTAAGCTTTGGAAAAATGTCAATTATATTCGGTGGTGGAGCTTCTGTCAGGGCACTGCCACTCAAACAAGCATCTTAGCACGATCGGGATTGTGGAGGATCCTGAATGCAGATGGTGCTCAGAGGATCGATGAGCCCGAAAAAGGAGGCCTTAGTGCGTCAGGTCCTGGACCGCCCACACATATATACATACATAGACCAATCAGAATCGAAAGACAGCTGGTGTTTTCACGATAATACACGTTGTCTTTGACTGTTGAGCAGTCAGATCATGTGAGAATTTCAAGATGAGTGACAGTCAGTCAGTGAAACGCGAAAATTTCTGAAAGTTTCAAATGCATGTATAATGAAGAAATTTTCGAATTGAAAATTTCTTTTTTGACGGCTATGTGAAATATTTCGATTTCAAAACTTTCAAATCGAAAATTTTCATCGGAAATTTCGATCCGTACCTGCGTGTTGCGGAAAATTTCGTCCCGCTCCGTGACGGTGGTCGCCGCGGCGGCCAGCAGTTCCACCCCCGTGGAGGGGACGGCGTATGTTCCGGGGGCGGTCCTGTCTCTGCCGGCGTAGACGACATAACGCACGTCGGAGTCGTAGGGCGGTTCTTGAGCCAGCGGCGCGGGTAGGTCTTTGAAGGTCTCCACGTCGCTGCCGCTGGAGCAGGAAGACTCCGACGTCGAGGACGCCGGAGGAGTGGGCGGTTGCGGGGGGACGCTGTCTGAGTGGCTCTTGATGTGGGCCTCCATGCTCTTCTTGGAGTTGAAGGTGTCGTTGCAGATGGTGCATTTGTAGACTTTTTCTCCATAGTGGGCAACCTGGAATTCAAAAAATAATAAAATTAACTTCATCTATGGTAGCAAATGAACAAATCTGTCCTCTATTGCAGATATCAATAACGGATATCAGATTTTCAATTATGATAACTCAAGTTTTCTCTAAGTAAATCAAGTGAGTAGGTATATACTTCGAAATGAGAGAGTATACAGGATGAAAACATCACCTACGTTTTGAAATCATTAATAAATAACGTGATTAAATGAAAAACATTGGATATATTTTTTTCAATCTTCTGGGAAGTAGATTTTCAAATCTAAAAAACTTCACAAGCGTTAAGATTTCCACAACATTCCTAATAGCCCGACATGTTTCGCTAACACAGTAACTTCTTCAAGTAAAATACTGGTATGATAAACTGAACAAAGTCAGAATCGATGAAACCATCGAACTGTTGTGAAATTCAGCGTTAAGATTTCCACAACATTCCTAATAGCCCGACATGTTTCGCTAACACAGTAACTTCTTCGAGTAAAATACTGGTATGATAAACTGAACAAAGTCAGAATCGATGAAACCATCGAACTGTTGTGAAATTCCGCTGAAATGTTGATGGAAATCCATCAAACTGTTGTAATAAAATGTGCACTTTCAAATCGCTTTACGAACATCCAGCGATTTGGAGGAGACTGACATGACCATTGACACATTTCAAGTATTGTTCTTTGTTTCAATTTCATAGAAAACAAAAGATATTGAGGTCTTTTGAGATTTTTGAGAGATTTCAGAAGATGGAGTCATCGTTAATCAATAAAATTCACATAAACTCGTTATCAGCTTCTTTTGATTCTGAAGAGACATGACAGACTGACACACTAGGAAATCCGTTCTTCTATCGTTCCATCGTTCCAGCGCTCCAGCATAAATTCCATCAAAACAATTGTTGACCTCACGCAAAAAGCGAATATATAAGTGCACACTTTTATAGCTGGAATGAAAATCGCGTCCAATGTTATTTCTAGATAGATAGATAGATAGATAGATAGATAGATAGATAGATAGATAGATAGATAGATAGATAGATAGATAGATAGATAGATAGATAGATAGATAGATAGATAGATAGATAGATAGATAGATAGATAGATAGATAGATAGATAGATAGATAGATAGATAGATAGATAGATAGATAGATAGATAGATAGATAGATAGATAGATAGATAGATTCATGGACTCAAGCAGATTCCGAGAGTATAATAGCGCCGCCTACGAACCAACCAGGAATTAAGGCCAAATTTGGCTTCAACATATAGTGACAGGTATTCTTTCAATGTGAACTGAGCTGAATCAGTTATTATGTGTTCGTTGGAAAGATTTTGATTAGATAGAATGTTAACTGATTCAGTTCAGTCCAAGTGAAATACGTCAGTTAGTTCAGGACGAAAGAATATCACTATTTTAGATGTTGGATCATCATGTTGAGTAAATAATGAAGGGTGTTCCTGAAAGTACGTAAGATAATGTACCCCGTAAGCCGTAAGAATTGATGAATGCGCTGCGTACTTGCGTAGCTGTCAATTTATACGTTTACGTCAACGTACATGCCAGCACTCAGTACCGAACGCGACTAGTATAACCTAAAGAAAAGGATATCTACCTGGTGGAGCTTGAGCACGTGGTTGTAACCGAACGACTTCCCGCATATCTCGCACGAATACGGCTTCTCGCCCGTGTGCGTGCGCGAGTGCACCTTGAGCTGCTTGCTGCACGTGAACCCCTTCTGGCACACTGCGCACACGTACGGCTTCTCGCCCGTGTGCGTGCGCATATGGATGACCAGCTGGCCGCTCTGGATGAAGGTCTTGAGGCAGACGGAGCACTTGTGCGGCCGCTCGCCCGTGTGGATGCGCATGTGTCGGTGCAGCTTGCCCGAGTGCTCGAAGGCGCGTGCGCACACCTCGCACTTGTAGGGGCGCTCTTTGGTGTGGATGCGCCGGTGGACGCTGAGGTTCTCTTTCACGCTGAAGCTCTTGCTGCAGAACTCGCATCTGGAATGGAAGCGATGGATCGAATATAGCTCTTGCCTACTAACTACCTAACTTGGTTGGCATTTAGAACGACGATGGATCGAATGAAGGGGGTGTAGCCAAGCAAATACACAATGACAACGTTTCATTGGATTGAATGAAACATATTTGAACAATTGAATATATCTGAAAGATCAACATTGCTTGTACAGGATGAACGAAATTAACCGCAAATTGATGATTGTGTACCGTCTTTCCAGAAATAAGGTATTTCTCGAAATTTTGGATTTTCGAAAAGTTGCTGAAGCATGTTTTCTGTCTGGAATGCATTGTTTTTATTCAAATGTTCTCACAAAAATTGGCCCAACACTGATCAGTCTTTGTCTATCTAGTAAAATAAAATGTTGTATTGTGTATGAATGTGTTGGCACTATTGAGTATTTTTAATTTGCTTCCTAGGCTTTGGGAATCGCTTAATCCATAGTTATATTAAATTTTAGAACTCTATCACAGAAAACTTCCATCAAACTCAATGATGTCAAAAGATAAACCACGATAAGGTAGATCGAAGTAGTGTAGGCAAGCACTCAGACATTCAAGTCTTAGCTCAACGTCCTGTAGTGAGATCAATTTTTAATATTAAAAACAGCCATTTTAACAACAAAACCATGCCCTCCTAATTCCACTATAGATCAACTTTCTACAAACCTGGGAAATTTCAAGTAAAGTCAACATATAATACTAAATGAGTTTCTTGAAACACCGAAAAATTAATATAAAACAACAAAAACAAATGCCATTTCTTACAACGATTATTGCTATCGTCTATTATGAATCTTTGAGTTGCCGCTACGTTAATCATTCTTCATTTTGTTATGTTGTTACGGTTTTATTTTGCACTACGAATTCTCCGTTATTATTATTCTGGAATCATTGAATTTCGTGTTCTTAAGTATCAGATCGATGTCACACTCGGTATCATGTTCACTGTGCTATATGATAACTCCATGTTATGCTGTATTATGAACTATCTTTCAGTATTTCGCCTCACTGTACTCACCTTTATTTCAAACAATTTCGCATACATTATATTATGTGCTCAGTAAGATATCATTTAAATATAATGATCCATCATTGTTTACTTTATTTTTATTTCAATGATTAAATCAATTGACAATCGATTTCTGACAAATATAAGTCAATATTCAATGACAGAGTTGACAGATAACATGTGAGATATTTTCTTAGTACAGATACTTTCTTTCTGACCCGAGATGGGTCCATAATACGTCAGCGATAGTTCGTCTTGAGAACACGAATGTCTGCAAGCAGTTGTGAAACCGTAACTTTTTCCTCAGCAGCAACAGGAATAGTTGTTCATCAAATGTTTATCCGGATGGTGTAAGCACTGATCAGATTTTGTTTGTCGAGTATTTATTCCGGATGAATATCAGTTTAGTTCGAGATCTGAGTAAATGCCTTAGTGGTTGTTATAAACTTTAACTGAGTGTAGGATCCGAACTCACGATAAAAAGTTTCATGGATGATTTTACACTTGGAATCTGCTCGCACCATCCTTATAAATTATTCAGCGCCAGCCATCAGTCATCACGGAAATACTGTCGTTCATTTAAGTTTAATATGTCACAGAACTATTCTCAGATTCCTGTATGATCTAAGGAATCAGTTTCGCGTATAAATCACTATAAATCGATGCAATTGACAGCAGTGACATTTCATATTTTTTATATCTGACTGACATTTCAACTTTTCACTTTTGATTCTTCCTTGGTACTTGTGGGAGTGTATGGCCGATTGAAATATCTCCATCGAATTATTCGATCATCTCTGTATGGATTTGGAGAATTTCAACATTATATGATTCATTACGTATCGGACCAATATTGGATGTTTGTATTTTGAATGAAATCATATTTTCTGCTCTGCAGGATATAAAGCCAAAAGCTCCTGTCTTGTCTATCCAACAAGTACCATTGTGGAAATAACTGACACAGACAATCCACAACATCGGAATTGTTAAAATAACCCTCAGCTACAAAAGAGTATTGTTTATTTTTAGGGTCCTAGTCCTAGTCTTAATTCTAGTCCTACTCCTAGTTCTTGCAATAGGCATAGGCTTCATCCCACTATTAGGACTCTAGTACTACTGTTCATCCTAGTCCCTGGTCATTGTATGTCTGGACCATAGACTCGTGCTGTTTTTTTTTTTTCATTGGTTAACAAGAATACCTGCAGTTTTGCTGTGTCTTCGACAACGAGCAGTCTGCCAGTTGAGGCCTGATTGCCTTGACCAGAGAGAAGAGGGATTCAATCATAAGTAACGCCATAGGAGCTCCACTGAGCATTCAGATAAGTCTGTCAAACCATAAAACATCAGGGAATGTCCCTTATACATGTGTAATAGTTTACATTCAATATTAAGTTGTACGCTATCCCCGTGACGTCACATGAATAGCCCTCCTTAGGACCTTCCCTATATTTGTATCAATTTAATATACAAAACTATATATATCTGAAATCTGAATGCTCCCTTGAATGCTACTTCTCTTACATAACTATATATGGTGTTATCTTATGATTTGAATAGATAGTTTCAAGGTGTATGACTATTATTTCTTCATCAATCAACCCCAGGGTACTTGTAAATTTTACCAGATATTTGTGAAGTATTGACTCTACCGATAGCAGAGGTTCATCCCTTTCATCAGGGTGGTTTCTGATTTTGGCTAGCGAAAAATCAGTGGCGCACCGGAAAATTTACCCCTTTCATTATATACTGTTATTCATATAATTCAAAAATACATGAACCGTACCCACACCCTAACTGAGCAGCTGGGAGGGTTAGTGGCAAGTACTTTATCTTTTGCATGAACCCTGCTTATCAAAACCTTGCCCCTAACAATGTATTTACCTCACCATAACTTATAAGTTTATTTATAGTCTGTGAGTTTCTGACAATAATAATGTTGTTATGGGTAAGTACTTATACTATTATGTTATAAAAGTTTTTCCATGTTTGTGTCATCAAAGCATATCATACCAAAATGAATGTTTTATTCGAAAAATCCTCTTAAATTGCCGATTTGGCAGCAGTTCCACAGAGGTTCTTAAAATGTGATATCTATTGGGCAATTCGGTATAGGAAATTTCCAAATAAGAAGATAGTGTGGAAAACCATGGGGAAACGTTGACCTTCGCTTTTAATTGTTTGAGATTGGGGGCAAATATATTACACCTGCCCAATATTAACTTATGACGTGACATAAAGATTCAAGTTTTATTTATGGAAAGATGATCAATCATCACATGTTATTTGTTGTATTTTCTTTTTCTCAACTCAAAGTGAAATGCAATCATTGAAATGGCCATGATTTTGAATTAGCGCCATTTATTCATTTCGTTAGTGTAAACTTCCCTCCTGAGGCATTGTCATATAATTAATATTGACCATAGAAAATAACAGGTTGTCCCACCCAACAACTTGAAAACTTCCCAGCAGTTTGTTTTGATGGATGTGACTAATAACCAATAAGCACCAACAAAAACAAATGTGAACCAATGAAAATAAAGTAAACAGACCGCTTTGACAGCTTTCCAACCCTCCAATAAAGTAGGAGAGCCGACGATAAGTGCAAATTACCGCACAGGAAAGGGCCATTTTTCAATCATTTTGCTAAGGATATTGGCACAGGTTCCGTATCGATATATCGATGTATTTATAGATATATCGATACATATTGATACATATCGATTCATATCGATACATAGCGATACATGGATATATCGAGTAAGTAGCAAAACTTCATTGTTGATGTGCTCAACATATAGAACATTTATATCAAATATCAAAATCAAAGTTTGAAGTCTAAACGTTTTACTTTGAGCTCGATTTCAATTTCTATAGGATGTGTGCCTATAGGAACTTCGAGGGAATAGCAGTATTATTCAGTGAACGTTTTCTAGATGTCGTTTCCTAGTTAAGGTTGATTGGAAGAAAGTACTCGTCTATTCCTTTAGGGATTAGATTAGTGCTGTGTGATATTGAAAACTGGATATAGATATCGATGTACGCTTCAGTATCGATATTTTTTTTTCATGATATCGTTCTTTGGAGCCGATAAAGTAGTATCCTTACTTGAACGGTTTCTCTCCGGTGTGCGTGCGATAGTGCCTGGTCAACCTGGCGGGCACCGCGAATGTCTTCGAGCAGATGTCGCACCGGTACGGATCCTCAGTCTCCTTGGCATGGGAACGCGCATGGCTGGCGAACGCCGCCTTCGAAGTGTACATCTTGCTGCAGACCTGCTGACAATATCCGAAGGACGGCTATTTAGACAACTAGCGTCTACAGGCAGGAGGAAAATAATAATCATATCGCGGTGGGGGAACGCTACAGCGCGGGACCGCGAGTACTGATCACCCCAACGAATTTTTTTCATCGCTTGGTGCGCGCGAAGAACATCCTGTCTACCTGAGTAGGATAGGGAGAGGAGGTGAGTGTTATAAGTTGTTTTCTACTTTTAGAGATTATATAAGTTCTTGGAAATACTTCCTTAGGTGGTGAATTCGGGCCAGGAGCTATTTCACTTCCAGTCAGCTCAACAATTGTTCCTCCCTTGGCAGTCCCCGCAAGATTAACCCGTCGAGTTGATGTGTTCCCTAAGGCATATAACCTCCAGAAATTTAAGAAGAACACCAATTCCTACCTTGGTTCTCACGATATTTTCTGAACATTACAGGAAAACCCTTTTCGTGAGAACCAAAACATGAAAAAAGTATTCTAGAACAAGTCGTATCTGTGCTTTGTAAATCATAAGAAGCTGTTGAGGTGTAAAATAGCTTTTCGCACAGAATAAAAATCCGAGTCTCTGTGAAGCAGCTTTCGCGATGGATCTGACATGATTATCCCATGAAAGAGTATTGCTGACGAAGACACCGAGCATAGATATAGTTACTTGGTGGGAATTTTGGTATCAGACATTGTTATATCAGGTATACCCAGTTCCGCCTTACTAGAGAAAATACTGTAGATGTGCTGTCGCTCCCCCACCCACAGAACTCAAAGACTTCTGTGCCCCCACCGCGATGATTATTTTTCTCCTCCTCCAGTCTGTAGGCGCTAGTATTTAGATATATTACATATTTGGGTCAAGGTTTTAGGCTTTTAGGTCAAGTCTCAAGATATCAACAGAAGGGAACAAAGTTAGGGAGATAGAGAAACGAAAGGGTAGTGACATTAATTTTAGGTATTACCCAAAAATATACCTCCATTAAGCTAGCAGAACCACTTCGAATTTTTCAATTTTTTCTCCGGCCATAATTTTAGGCTAATTTAAGGCTAATTTATTACCCTATTGCCGAATTTATTGCTCTTCGATTTATGTAAGAAAACGTGGGTTCTGCTAGCTTAACGTTAAGCTAGCAGAACCACTTCGTAAATAAAAGTTCAATCACAAAACTAATTATGCCATAATTTAAGGCTAATTTTAGGCTCCAATCCTAGCCTATTGCCAATTTTTTCGCACATTGTTTTTTTAAAAAAATCATGGGTTTTGCTAGCTTAACCGTTAAGCTAGCAGAACCAAATCTCAGATAGAAGGAATATAAAAATATTGAGTACACCATAATTTAAGGCTAATTTTAGGCTCTTCGATGAACCTATTATCGATTTTTTGAAAAATCATTTTCTGCAAAAAATTCCCAAATCCAACATGAACATGACAAACCTCGTGACAAACCAATAGCAAACCAAAAAAACTTCAATCACAAACCTAATTATGTCATAATTTCAGGCTAATTCAAGGCTCTGATCCTAGCTCATTGCGAATTTTTTCGCACACTGTTTTTTTAAAAAAATCATGGGTTTTGCTAGCTTAACCGTTAAGCTAGCAGAACCAAATCTCAAATAGAAGGAATATAAGAATATTGAGTGCACCATAATTTAAGGCTAATTTTAGGCTCTTCGTTGAACCTATTATCGATTTTTTGGAAAATCATTTTCTTCAAAAAATTTCCCAAATCCAACATGAACATGACAAACCAGTAGCAAACCAAAAAAAAACTTCAATCACAAACCTGATTATGCCATAATTTCAGACTGATTTAAGGCTCTGATCCTAGCCTATTGCCAATTGTTTCGCACACTGATTGAAAAAAAAATCATGGGTTTTGCTAGCTTAACCATTAAGCTAACATGTGAACATGACAAACTAATAGCAAACCAAACAAAGTTCAATCACAAAACTAATCATGCCATAATTTAGGGCTAATTTTAGGCTCTGATCCTAGCCTATTGCCAATTTTTTCGCACATTGTTTTTTAAAACAATCATGGGTTTTGCTAGCTTAACCGTTAAGCTAGCAGAACCAAATCTCAAATAGAAGGAATATGAGAATATTGAGTGCACCATAATTTAAGGCAAATTTTAGGCTCTTCGTTGAACCTATTATCGATTTTTTGAAAAATCATTTTCTGCAAAAAATTCCCAAATCCAACATGAACATGACAAACCAATAGCAAACCAAAAAAACTTCAATCACAAACCCAGGTATGTCATAATTTCAGGCTAATTCAAGGCTCTGATCCTAGCTTATTGCGAATTTTTTCGCACACTGTTTTTTTAAAGAAATCATGGGTTTTGCTAGCTTAACCGTTAAGCTAGCAGAACCAAATCTCAAATAGAAGGAATATAAGAATATTGAGTGCACCATAATTTAAGGCTAATTTTAGGCTCTTCGTTGAACCTATTATCGATTTTTTGGAAAATCATTTTCTTCAAAAAATTTACCAAATCCAACATGAACATGACAAACCAATAGCAAACCAAAAAAACTTCAATCACAAACCTAATTATGCCATAATTTCAGGCTAATTTAAGGCTCTGATCCTAGCCTAGTGCGAATTTTTTCGCACACTGTTTTTTTTTGAAAAAATCATGGGTTTTGCTAGCTTGACCGTTAAGCTAGCAGAACCAAATCTCAAATAGAAGGAATATAAGAATATTGAGTGCACCATAATTTAAGGCTAATTTTAGGCTCTTCGTTGAACCTATTATCGATTTTTTGGAAAATCATTTTCTTCAAAAAATTTACCAAATCCAACATGAACATGACAAACCAATAGCAAACCAAAAAAACTTCAATCACAAACCTAATTATGCCATAATTTCAGGCTAATTTAAGGCTCTGATCCTAGCCTAGTGCGAATTTTTTCGCACACTGTTTTTTTAAAATAATCATGGGTTTTGCTAGCTTAACCGTTAAGCTAGCAGAACCATATCTCAAATAGAAGGAATATAAGAATATTGAGTGCACCATAATTTAAGGCTAATTTTAGGCTCTTCGTTGAACCTATTATCGATTTTTTGAAAAATCATTTTCTGCCAAAAATTCCCAAATCCAACATGAACATGACAAACCTCGTGACAAACCAATAGCAAACCAAAAAAACTTCAATCACAAACCTAATTATGTCATAATTTCAGGCTAATTCAAGGCTCTGATCCTAGCTTATTGCGAATTTTTTAGCACACTGTTTTTTTTTAAAAATCATGGGTTTTGCTAGCTTAACCGTTAAGCTAGCAGAACCAAATCTGTAATAGAAGGAATATAAGAATATTGAGTGCACCATAATTTAAGGCTAATTTTAGGCTCTTCGTTGAACCTTTTATCGATTTTTTGAAAAATCATTTTCTGCAAAAAATTCCCAAATCCAACATGAACATGACAAACCAATAGCAAACCAAAAAAACTTCAATCACAAACCTAATTATGTCATAATTTCAGGCTAATTCAAGGCTCTGATCCTAGCTTATTGCGAATTTTTTCGCACACTGTTTTTTTTTTAATACATGGGTTTTGCTAGCTTAACCGTTAAGCTAGCAGAACCAAATCTCAAATAGAAGGAATATAAGAATATTGAGTGCACCATAATTTAAGGCTAATTTTAGGCTCTTCGTTGAACCTATTATCGATTTTTTGGAAAATCATTTTCTTCAAAGAAATTTACCAAATCCAACATGAACATGACAAACCAATAAGTAGCAAACCAAAAGAACCTCAATCACAAACCTAATTATGCCATAATTTCAGGCTAATTTGAGGCTCTGATCCTATCCTAGTGCGAATTTTTTCGCACACTGTTTTTAAAAAAAAAACATGGGTTTTGCTAGCTTAACCGTTAAGCTAGCAGAACCAAATCTCAAATAGAAGGAATATAAGAATATTGAGTGCACCATGATTCAAGGCTAATTTTAGGCTCTTCGTTGAACCTATTATCGATTTTTTGGAAAATCATTTTCTGCAAAAAATTTACCAAATCCAACATGAACATGACAAACCAATAGCAAACCAAAAAACTTCAATCACAAACCTAATTATGCCATAATTTCAGGCTAATTTAATGCTCTAATCCTAGCCTATTGCCAATTTTTTCGCACATTGTTTTTTACTCGTTTTTTAAAAACAATCATGGGTTTTGCTAGCTTAACCGTTAAGCTAGCAGAACCAAATCTCAAATAGAAGGAATATAAGAATATTGAGTACACCATAATTTAAGGCTAATTCTAGGCTCTTCATTGAACCTTTCATCGATTTTTTTCAAATAATTTTCTGCAAAGAATTTCCGAGATCCAACATGAACATGACAAACCAATAGCAAACCAAAAAAAGTTCAATCACAAAACTAATTCAGCAATGATATGAGGCTAATTCAAGGCTCTCATCCTAGCCTATTGCCGATTTCTTTGCACATTGTTTCTTCAAAAAGTCATGGGTTTTGCCATAGATTAAACAAATTTAATCTATGGTTTTGCTAACTTAACCATTGCTAGCAGAACCAAATCTCAAAGAGAAGGAATACAAGAATATTGAGTACACCATAATTCGAGGCTAATGTTAGGCTCTTCATTGAACCTTTAATCGATTTTTTTGAAAATCATTTTCTGCAAAAAAATTCCCAAATCCAACATGAACATGACAATACATTAGCAAATCAAAAAAAGTTCGATCACGAAACACATTATAGGTACCGAAATTTAGGTACATACATTTTCATTACAATTATATTCTCTTCAATGGAAGTTACTAATAATATTACAAATTTCAGTGCTCTTATCTATAGGAATGTAAAATGTTGGTAAAAAATTTCGTAAAAAATACAAGTTTATGAATACGAATACATCATATATTTTTGCCTTTAACTGTTCACCAAAATAAGAGACCACTAGTGTGAATACTCAATGATAAAATTAATAAAATAATGCGGAACTGCGTTCGGCTTCAACGTCTCGGAAAGACGGGGAA